CAAATATGGCATTACAACCACTACCACTACCAAATTTTTCAGGTGAATATGATGAGGATATTGATATTTTTATTAGTCAATTATCGTCATATTTAGCTAGCACTGGTATAGACCCAGTTGTCAATCGGTATCAAGCATTTGGTATTCTTAGAGAGTGTCTACATGGGCAAGCATTAGAATGGTTTGATCGAAAAATTCTTGGTAAACGATGAGAACTTCACAATATTTTTGCAAATCATGGCCAGGCTGATATGGGTGCTCTTCGGAGACGCACTATAGCACAGATGAATACTAGTAATAGCTTTAGAAATCTTTCAATTGCCCATGACTATGCAAATACTGCTGGTAATAATGCAGTAACCGTAGGTGTTTCCATGATTTCAGCTAAAGCTTTTACTGAAGATTGGCACTTAGCTGGAGGACGTCCATTGGATAGACCTGCCAATGCTATTAATGCAAGTAATGCTAATCCTATAGTATTTGGTGATATTCGGATTGGTCAAGCATTATATTGGCTCAGAAATGAATATCCTACAGTAATAAGTGAAAAGCGCAATTTAGTTTATGGATCATTAGCTCAGGGGGGTGAACCTATAGGAGACTTTTACTCAAAACTCTTAAAATATGGAAAAATGCTTAATCTTGATGAGCAACAGATTAAGGGACAATTTCTAAGAGGTTTGTCTCCAGACTTGGAGGATGATGCTGAACGCATTGGTACTGAGCAACCATTAGCTGATCTTTTTGAAATTTTAGAGCGAATTGAAATGCGAAGAGCAGAGAAAAAATTAGGATTAGTTAGTAAAATACCCCAGTTTAGTTATAAATTGTCATCTAAATTAATAACACCTACACAATCCCAATCCGTTTCTTCACAATCAGCTCTTCAGCAAATACAGCCATCACAACTATTGCAGACACCTCAACCTTATTATGGACCACAACCTCCTGGCATATATCAAAAAATGCAAGATATATTAATGGATAGATTTGTATAATGGATTACTGGTGAGGTTTCAGAATTTGTTCCTATCTCCAAGCCCGATTTGCCTCCAAAACCTGTAATAAAGAAAGTTGAAGTTGACTCTGATGATGAATTGGCCAATCTTACGAAGAAGCAGTTGAAGTTACACATAGCTAAAGCTGTTAAAAAAGCTACGAAAGCACAACACTGTTGCTCAAACTGTAATAGAACTGGGTATAATTCTCATAAGTGTCCTTGGAAAAAGAAGAGTAGATCCAAAAATAAAAAAGGTAATGTCCATAAGGTTACTGTTGATTCGAGCTCTGAGTCAGATTCAGATATTAACTCTTCTGATAATAATTCTGATTCTGGCTCCAAATCGGGGTCCAATTTTGAAGAATCCTCAGCCGAATCTGAATCTGAAAGTGACATTAAGGTTCATATTAGTAAGGTAAAAAAAAAGTAAAACATAAGAGCAACTCTACAAAATCGCCATCTGGAAATAAACCCAAGCAATCCAAAATCAAAAAAGAGAAAGCAAAGCTTCGAGCTAGAAACCCATTCAAGCCTTGTAAAAGAGACCAGAAAGAGACTCCCAATTCTGATAAATCACGAAATAAATCCACCATTATTGATAAATCTCTTCAGAGAGTTGTACTAGATATGCTTGACGGCATTGCACCTGTAGATTGGATAGAAAAACTCAAAGCTAAAATTGGCACTAATATGCCAGCTCATGTTGAAAGTTTATTTACTTCAGCTCCACCTATTCAAAAATCTAATTTTAGTGAAACTAGCTCTGCTAAAAATTATAGAGAACCAGCTCCAGAAATATCTGATTTAGATGATAAGTTCATTGATGACCCCATGGAAATAGATTTTGTTCAGAGAAAAGATCCGGCTACAGATGTTGTAACTACAAAATGCAAGATCAAGCGACTAGTAATTTTAGCAGCTACTGTAGATCCTGGTGCTAATTTTGCAATTATGTCTGAAGATATAGCCAAACGATTAAAGTTGGTAATTGATACAAAAGATAAACATGACCTCAGAGGTATTGCTACTATTCCTACTGAATCTCTTGAAACTACCCGAAATGTACCAGTGGACTTTACTTCCGGTTGTACCATATACTCTGATTTTGCAGTAGTTAAATACCCCAAGCCGATGTTGATTTTACCTAATACGTTACTTGACAAATATAACTACAATTTACTTGCATTGAGACAGGAATTGAAACTTGTATGCAATGGTAAGGAGTTCTTTATCCAGATAAATATGCACAAAGTCGAGAATAATCTCGAAGTGAACTGCGCAACTGTATCTCAGGATAATATGTCTCTGGTATTCGATCAAATTTCACAGGAGAAATGGTACGCTCTCGCGGATTTTAATATAGATTCTGATGATTCAACTTTTAAAAAAAAACGCATGAGCTATAAGGAGTTAGAAAAATCGCTATATGAGGTACTCAAATCCAATACTGAATTAATCGAGCTTAATAAAAAACTACGGGCTTATAACAAATCTAATATTGAAACGGTATGTAGGCTCGAAGAGCCATTGCTCTGCAATAGATTGCAAACTACTTTAGAAAAAACAAAAATAGATTAGTTGGAATCTAAGACCCTTTTCATCTCACGTTTAGCTTCTTCCCTTTTTTTACGATTTTGTGCAAGCTTAACTCGTAAGTCATCCATTTCATCTACTTTTTTTATCAGAATATCAGTTATATCAACCTTATTAGCTGAAAAGCTAGCCTCCGTACCGAATCCTGATTTTCTTTTCTTTGACTTCTTATCTAAAGTATTATTTTTAGACATTATTTCAGAAAAAACAACACTATGTATTAGTTGCTGTTTGCACAAGGGTATTCCTTCAGCATGTCTTTTCCAAATTTCATATATTCTACAAGTTGAAGTACTATATTTATAAGCCATTTTCCTGCATGCATTTTTAACAGTCCCTCGAGATTGAATGATTTCCTTAATAGCTTCTGGTGATAAATAAGGAGTACTAGCATGATAATATTCTACAGTTATGTGTTCCATTCTTTTTATAATTATAAAAAATTATCAAAAATTATTGAAAATGCTAAAATACTCCTATTTCTCTTATGTTAAAAAAAGATCGGTAATCATAGGTAATTATATATTTAATATTCAATAATTTTCTAAAAAAATCAGTAATTATCTATTATTGTTGAATTATATTGGAGCGTAATTTCTTTGATAGCATTATCGATAAGTATATATGTGTTTCATATTTTGCTATTTTTTATAATATTTCTCTTTATTTAATATGGCCAATGTAATAGACCTTAAAAAAGAATTATATAATGCCCTCCAAGATTCTTCTGAGATAGTTTCATACAATGCTAAATTGCGGGATAAGTATGAAAAACAAGAAAAAAAAATCAATCGGGAGAGAGGACGATGGGATCGGGATAGAAAGAAGTGGAGTAAAAAACTAGGAGGGGTTAATACCGAAATCCAGAAATTACGTACTTATGATCTCGAACTCATTGATGAAGCTAGGCGTTTATAGATTGAAAATGCTAATAAAGATATTTCTCTTGCGAAGTCCAAAGCTGAGAATGATATAAAATCCAAGAAAATTAGATCGCTTGAGTTTATGATTAAGATATTGGAAGGTAAGTTGTCTTCAGCCCAGAAAGATGTGATTTCGATTCAAAGTGACTCATCGAAAAAAGAAACTGAGATCGTGTCCCTCAAATCTAAAATAGCTGAATTAGAAAATATAAAGAGCGAATTGGAAGAGGCAAAGCCTCGAGACTATGTCCCATTGAAGGTCAATGAGCTTGAGTGTCTGAAATCGGAGACTATATTGAAACCCATAGTTGGTGGGGATAACGAAAAAAATATTACTAAGACTGATAATATATCTTGGGTAGTACTGATCTCAGTAAATATTTTATACGTAGAAAAAATATGGATCAAACTGAAAAAACCGATGGTAATATATTGACATATACTAATGATGAGATTATCGAACTATCAAAAAATGATACCGAGGCCAACTCCAAGGTAAGTAATGAAACTAGCATTAGCGAAATTAGTAAGGATAATATGTCCGCTTTAATTGAATCGAATTCTCAGATAAGGCCTGGTCCCGAGGCTTTGCCTCTTCTTGCTGTGGCAAGCACTTTGATGTCACCGCTATCAGCATATATTTTTCTTGCTCTGTTAATTATTGTGGTTGTGTGGTTCATGAAACGTACATGAAATATAAGTAGGCTTGAAGAGCCATCGCTCCACAGGCCGAAAGAGCCACTCTAAAGGGTCATAAAAAAAGTGATCGATTGCGGGATATGTGAATCGGGTAACCAAGACTATCTATTTGAACTTGGATATTATTTATGTATGAAAAATATTATTAATATCTTAGTAGATTGTGGCGATCTTAGCTAAGAATACTTAACAATATAGGTCAATGATATCATCAATGTCTGATGAGTTATCTTTTTTACTGCCATATATGATTGATAATGCTTGAAGCCGGGTAATTTCAAGGCCAACCACCTTATACTATGTATTCTGAAAATCTATTAATTCTCGACACTCTGATTCCAAATCATATAGAAATATATATTGTTCCAGAATTGTAATTTTGGGTTTGCGTTTTTGCACCTGCATAATTAAATCATACATCGCATTTCTATATCCTAGATTAAGCTTAGACAATTTTGAAAGTAGATTCAATAATTTCGAATGAGTAGAGTCTGTAATTTTGTCTAATATATTAAGGTAATTATTATGCTCCGCAGAGACGCCTGAAGATCTGGTTATGCCAGCTTCACTAATGCTAGAACATATTTTTTCAGCTTGAGTAGTAGCATTTTTCCATAAATAGGAGATAATGGCTTCATCTTTTTTCGGTGCATCACATAAGTTCTTAATATAATTTTTGAGCCATTTTTTAGCCGACTTCTGTGACTCTTCATCTTTAATTTTTGCTATTTCATCTTCATCTAGACTCGGAGAGTCATTGCTTTGCAATAAATCCTTAGCAATTTTTAATTTCTTCTCCTTGGATTTCTTTTTGCGATCCATGACTTTTGAGAGGGATTCAGGCGATGGTTGATATTTATCATCATAATTTATAAAACGGGCACAGAGACCAAATAGACTTTCGATATAATAATCAATATTTATTTTCTTGTTGAACTTTTTTACCACATCTGGGTATTCTATACAGTCTCCTTTTTGTTGTGGTATTTTTTTCCCGCAGTTATCATAAATCTTTTCAGGTACTACTACAATGTAACTAAATCGTTCACTGAGTTTGGGGACTTTATATAAGCATTCGTTAGCAGGTAAACCCTTCTTTATAAGCTGTTGATTTTCCAATACTTCACGAGAATACTTAGCCTCCATTCGCGAAACAAATCGTTCTACAGAAATATTTCTCCGCTTATCTTCCTTTTTAGGCCTCCATATACATGTCTGAATAAATTCATCATAATCTAACTTGAAAAGTTTTTCCACATTTTCCCAAAGAACTTTTTCAACAATCTGGTGTATTGTCTCCTCATTACTGACTTTCAAAGTTCTATTCATAATTTCCTTACCTACATCACGGAAAAGCTTAGATTGACCTCTTTTCACAATATCCACCCCTCTAATAAAAAGCTTACCTGGATTAAAGTTTGGTTTATTTTTATGCTCTAGACCATAGTATTTTTTCTTTCCTGTAAATACCACAGGAAATAAGACCTCCTCATATGCCATACTAAGGTAAGGTGTTCTATTGTCTTTTTCAAGCTCAGTATTTACCTCATTGCGGAGGTTTGCCATCACTTCCATAGATATTTTTATCATTTCCTCCCAGTACTCTTCTTGTGAGAGTTGATCTAATTTATATTTTTGATCACATTCCTGGAAATACTCCTCTGGACATGTAAGATATAAAGAATCGGTATCTCCATATTTAACGCCGAACCCTTTGTTTTCAACAAATTTTTTAACAAATTTAATATTACGCTATCCAGCAGAAGTAACTCCACCTGCTAACTGCAGTTGATAGAATGGAGAGAGATTATTTCCTGCCTTACCATAAAATGTATTAATATATAATTTTATTGCCTTTTGTTTTGAGTCTAAGCAACTATATTCGAAACTTTCTTCATCCAATTCATTAAGGCATTTTTTCATTTTCT